GTCCGGGCATCTCGGACGCCGCCCCGAGGGGAGAGCTGCCCGCCGCTGTCGCGCACCCCCGCCGCCCCGAACACTGCCCGGTGCTGCTCATTGTCAGCAAGTTCATCGTCGCCCGACTCGGTCAGGTATTGTCTCCAAAGCTCCCTTTTCATTGCCGCTGGGCGGCTGGCAGCCTACGGGGCGCGCTCTTCGTCCTGGGTGCGCTGCCCCGGGACCAGGAAACTTGAATTTTCGAGGCATTTGTGGGCAGAGCAGCTTTCTCTGATCGGTCCCGAGCCTCCCTCCCGGCCTCGCGGAGACGTGGGCGAAGTCCTCGTTCCGGAGTCTGCGCCGTCGGCTGTCTGCCTTTGAGAAGGCAGCTCCTGTCGAGGGGCACTGCTCGGAGGCGCCCCGAAAGGCCTGCGCTGGGGTTCGCCGGCCTGGAAGCCCGGCGCCCCGGGTTACAGTCCTGACGCCGCCGCTTAGCCCAGCCGCTGTGCACCGGCACTGCCCTGGAGCCTTTGCCAGATGGGAGCCGATTAACATCTACTCTCGAGGATTGTTATGAAAACAACTATGATGACCGAACCTAAACAGAGCCCTCCTCCATGTAGTTTAATTAAGGATAGCAGCCGAAGACGACCTGTTCAAGGAGAGCTTATTTGTTGGTAACTCGTGAATGCCTTGGAAATACCAGCACAGCCCCCCCGAATATTGCCCGATAGAGGGCGCTCCGGTTCCCTTTCATTTTAGAACCAGTGTGCCCCCTGGAGTGCGGAGTGCGTCGGATTGTTGGTGCCCCACGTTCCTAATAGGCTTGTCCCAAGCCTTCTCAGTGACTTCCAACCCCCTTCCTCCTGGTTCATGCAAAAATACCGGTTCAGGGTCCATTAGGTGAAAGTGTTCCCACCTGGAAAGGTGAAAAGGGTAAATAAGAATCAGGCAGAACCTTCAAGGAACTTACGTTCTACAGCGAAGAGCTATTCCTTTACTCAGTAAATCCTTACTGATTTCCTGTACGAGCCAGGGGCTGTTCTAGGTGCTGGGAAGACAGCACTGAGCCAGCCAAGGCCCTGCCCTCCTGGAGCTGGCCTGTCATTGAAGGCAGGGGAAACAAACAATGATCAAATAAATAATGTGCCACGGCGCTCTCCCTACAGGAAGCATGAGCAAGCCATTCCCTTCCCCTCTCCTCTTCCCCCACAGGCACCTATCCCCTAACTTTCTAAGGAACCCCATGATATTTTTTGCTACAGTCAATTAATTCTTGCTTGCTCTTCTACAAATAAATAATGTGCCATATGGTGATGTGTGCTGTAGGAAAAAAAATCCTATCTAATAAAGAGGGAATATGCTAATTGACTCTCACACTATTGCAAAGATGTTGGTGCCCACAGCCAATAAGGAAGGAATATGCTAATTGACTGCTACGCCCACAAAGATGGCAGCACCCAGTCCCCTCAGCCCCCTAGCCGACCAGGGCTGGCCCAAGGCTTAGGTAACCAGGGCTGGCTGACCAGCAGCGGTGTGATGGGGCATCACTTTCCCCTGATTGCCAGGTCGCCTCCCGCCCCTGAGAGCTCCCCGACTGAGAGAGGGCAGGCTGGGCTGACGGACCCCCCTCCAGCTCATGAATTTTCATGCACTGGGTCTCTAGTAAATAAATAAAGCAATATAACCCTGGCTGGAGTGACTCAGTTGGGCATCATCCCTTGCACCAAGAGGTTGCCAGTTTGATTCCCATCAGGGCACATGCCCGGGTTGTGGGCTTAATTCAGGTAGGGGGCATGTGAGAGGCAACTCATTGATGTTTCCATCTCACATCGATGTTTCCCTCTCCTTTCCTCTCGCTCTAAAAATCAATTTTTTAAATCTTTAAAAAAGATAAAACAATTTAAAAAGAATGGAGATGAAACAGATTTGGCACTTTTATATGGAAGGGTAAGGAACAACCTCTTATTTAATAAGGTAACATTTTAGCAGAGACTTGGAGAAAGCTAGGTAGCAAGGCACGTAAATACCTGGAGTTCTTTTCCAGGCAGAGGAGCAGCAAGTGTAAGGCCCTATCCCAAGGGAGTGAAGGGGAAGGGTATGAGGGAAGGTCAGGTCATGTAGTGCATTGTAGGCCATTATAAGAACACTAGAAGCCTGGTGCACAAATTTGTGCATGGGTGGGGTCCGGTCAGCCTGCCCTGATGGGCCAGGTGGCAGGGGGGAGTGGCCACAGGAGGTTGGCTGGCCCCGCCCCTGATGGGGGGGCCAATCGGGGGCAGGGCTGGCCAGGGGGAGGAGCCACGGGAGCTTGGGGGGCCAATCGGGGTCCCAGTCAGGCCTGTTGGCTGCTGCAGTGTGCGTCATAGCAACTGGTCATTCTGGTCACTTGGCTTTTATATATATACTAGAGGCCCGGTGCACAAAAATTTGTGCACTTGGGGGGGGGGTCCCTCAGCCCGGCCTGTGCCCTCTCGCAGTCTGGGACCCCTCAGAGATGACCACTTGCTGGCTTAGGCCTGCTCCCCGGGGAATTGGGCCTAAGATGGCAATCAGACATCCCTCTGGCAGCCCGGCAGCCCTCGGGGGATGTCCATTTGCCAGCGGGGAGCAGACCTAAACTGCAGTCGGACATCCTTAGCGCTGCTGAGGAGGCAGGAGAGGCTCCCACCACCACTGCTGTACTGGCAGCCATCAGCCTGGCTTGTGGTTGAGCAGAGCTCCCCATGTGAGAGCGCCCTGACCACCAGAGGGCAGCTCCTGCATTGAGCGTCTGCCCCCTGGTGGTCAGTGTGTGTCATAGTGACCAGTCATTCCCAGTCTTTCTGCTGTTAGGGTCAGTTTGCATATTACCCTTTTACTATATAGGATAGAGGTCAGTGTGTGTCATAGTGACCAGTCATTCCCAGTCTTTCTGCTGTTAGGGTCAGTTTGCATATTGCGGGGGTCTCGCTGGGGTGCCTGGCCAGCCTGGGTGAGGGGCTGATGGCTGTTTGCAGCTGGTCACACCCCCTTCAGGGTGGGGGTCCCCACTGGGGTGCCTGGCCAGCCTGGATGAGGGGCTGATGGCTGTTTTCAGGCTGGCCACACCCCCTTCAGGGTGGGGGTCCCCACTGGGTGCCTGGCCAGTCTGGGTGAGGGGCTGAGGGCCGTTTTCAGGCTGGTGGGCAACTGAAGCTCCCAACCTCTCCTTTTTTTCTTTTTTTTTTATTCTGGGATTTATTTACCTTCTATGGCTGTCACAGAGCTGAGAGCCGGCTTTAGCTCTGAGGCCAGCTCCAGCTTGAGGCCTCGGCTGCTGAAAGCAGGTATCTGGGGTTTGTTTAGCTTCTATAATTGCAACATTGTTTCTTAGAGTGCAGCTCAGAGCTGGGCTGCGGCAGGCGGGGAACCTTGGCTTCCTCCATCGCCAGGGCAACCAAGCCTCATGTTCGCTTCAGCTGTGTGGCTGCCGGCCACCATCTTGGTTGGCAGTTGATTTGCATATTGCCCTGATTAGCCAATGGGAAGCGTGTTGAAGGTACCGTTAATTACCCTATTTGTCTTTTATTAGATCAGATATAGATTGGCTCTCTGGGTGAAGGAGTTTGAGGAGAGGAGTGACCTATTCTGGTCTGTTTTTACTAACTGCTTTGTTGAGAATAGACAGGTAGAACTAGAGTGGCTTGGACTAGAGTGGTGGCAGTGAAGATGGTAAGAAGCAATTGGATTCTGGATATACAGTGGGACCTTGACTTACGAGTTTAATTCGTTCCGTGACGGAGCTCGTAACTCAAATTACTTGTATGTCAAATCAAAAAGTGAACGAGTGAGACACGTGATGCTGGGCTGATGTTGTGGCGTTCACTGTGATGTTCGCTGCGCCAACTAGCGGTGGGGTATCTGAAGCTGGCTTGTAACCCGAATTTTAGCTCGCAACTCAAAGCAAAAAATCGGCCGAAAGACGGCTCGTATCTCGAAAAACTCATTAGTCGGGACACTCGTAAGTCAAGGCCCCTCTGTATTTTGAAGATTATAAGACATGTTTGTGAATAATAATTATAATACTTGCCATAAAAGGAGTATAAACAAAGTGGTATGAAAAGGTGGGATCTCATCTGGCAGGGAATTAGAATAGGCCTTGGGACGTTTGAACTGAACTCTTGAGTAATAGGTACAATTGACTTCTTTCGGATTCACATGTTAAATAGTAAGTGATTTCTTTTGAAATATAGAATTATATTTAGGCTGTTTATAGAATGCCTGAAATTTCAAATATCAGAAAAGGAAAATAAAATCGGAAGATTTTATAACAAACATACTCCCTTCACTGATTTTGTCTCTCCTATATTACATCAACTTTAATATCTTATTGGTTCCTTCATTCATGAGTTAAATACATTTTGACACATGATTACTATAGGTATGTGACCCAAGTAGAAGAGATTAGATACTGCAAAAGAAAAGATTGGTGAACTTGAAGACACAACAATGAAAACTATTGAAAGTGAAACAAAAAAGAAAATGAAAAAATTAACAAAGCTGTGAGGAATAGGACAGCTTCACTTGGACTCATATTCATGAAACTGTAGCCCCCAAAGAGAGAAGGGACAGATAATAATAATAATAATTAAAAAAAAATAATGACCAAAATTTGTTGAAATTTATTGAAAACTATAAACCCACAGGCAAGTGGTTCAGTGAACCCCAAGCAAAAGAAACATGAAAAAAAAACTATACCAAGTGGAACAAAGATAACAATGGCATCAGATTTATCATAGGAAACAATGCAAGCAAACTGATAATAGAGAAACATCTTTAAAGTCTTGAAAGGGGGAGGCAAACTGTCAACCTAAGATTTTTATACCCAGCAAAAATACCTTTCAAAACGGAAGGTGAAAGGAAATCCTGTTCAGATATACAAAAGCTGAAAGAAGTTAACAGCAGCAGATTTATACTGCAGGAAATGTTGAAGGAAAATTGAATGGCAGAAGGAAAATGATACAGGTTATAAACCCAGATGTAGATCAACACAAAGGAATGAGGGCACCAGAAATAGTAACTATATGGTTAACTCTAAAATACCTGTGCAGTGATGATGGTGCCGGAGTTACAAAGCATGAAACCTATAGTTAAGGAACCTTTCCAAAGGAGACAGTGAACTTAGTAAGTACTCTGGGCCTCCTTTTACTAGAACCAAGTAAACTGCCTGTTTATATTGCCCATCCAGTATATTAATTAACTTTTCCAAAAAGCAAGGGCAGAAAACGAAGTCTCTTCAACTATCTGAACACTGTTTTTCCTGCTGATAGCATATGGACACTGTGGTACAGAGATTATGCCTCCCACCCATGTTGCCCATGTCCTAATCCCCAGAAACTGAACATGTTGCCTTAAATGGCAAAAGGAACTTCCTAGATTTCTCACCTCCAGAATTGTAAGAAAATAAATTTGTGTCGTTTTAATTTACTGCATTTGTGATAATTTGTGACAGCAGCAATGCAAATATAGAAACATTAATATTCAAATTCTACAAAGCTTTATAAGCACTTTCTATATGACAGGTATAAAAATATCATTAGGGTTCCATTTATTTTCATCCTCTTCTATAAAGCTGTTGAAGAGCTAGATCAATCATTGCTTTTTATTTTGGGTAGTCTCCTAAATCAGTTAGGATACTTTCAGTTGCCAGGAAAGTAGCTGGAATTTATTGCTCCAATAACTGAAAAGTGCAAAGGTTAGGCAGCCATCAGAACTCTGGCAACATTTCTCAGTCAACCTTTTGGCACTGTTCTTTTCCCATTTTCAGCACCGTCTTGGCCCAGTTTCTCCCATCTCAGGATGACAGCCAGGAGGAGCTGAGCTCTGTGCTCTATTCTGGATTAAGGTGACTAGAAAGAATTCCGTGTATTGTTAGTTTAGGGCACTCTAACTGGGTGGGGGTCAGTCTCACCCAAATTACTTTACTCAGTAGGAGAAAGGGGCATTATGATTCACCTTGGAAAATCTGGGTGCTATTAGGACGGGAAAAGGATATTGAAAAATAAGAGCTTGTTACAACCAACAAAAAAGAAATTATAATAATGTCTTTTAAAAGTACTAGTAAGTCTCAAATGTTATCAATTTGTGTAATGCTTCAAAAATAAATTCTTTTTTTATTTGTGTATTATCAAAAGTTCTGAATGTCTGCTTTTTTTATCTGTCATTCAAAGACATTTTAGAAAAATAATCTTCAGTCTTAGGTGTCTTTCTTTTTTTTGCCCCTTGATGCTAATTAGTACACAACAGTTTGATGACCTACTTCCTGACGTGTGAGAATTTCTTCCATCCTAGTATTGAATTCTTCATCTTTCCCTAAGGTCCTAATTGCAATTAACTGGACTCTTGCTTTAAAAACTTTATATACTGCTAAGCTGTCTCGTATAAACATCTTTTTCATGTAATGATTATTATTATTTCTGACATCCCTAATTAAGATACTGGATTACTGAAGCCAAAAAAAAAAGATGTTTGGTATTCATGATGTTAAAAGATTTATAGTGGACAGTCATGCTTCAAAGTCTTCAAACTAGCTGTAAAAAAATAAAATGAGCTTATTTTCTATACATAAAACCAAGTATAAAGGAGTATAATGATTATTTTTAGAGTAAAGTAGAAATTTTAGAAAACAAATATTTTCACTATCTCATACAGTAGGTCAGTATTAGATTTCAGTTATCTGACATATGGATCCAACAATAATTGGTAATTTTATAATTAACTTGTATTGTTAGGAGTGACTAATTCTTGAAAGTTCTGTAGGAGGTTCAATAAAGGATCTTTAAAGAATATCATTAGTAGAAATAGGACTGAAAGAATGTATTATTTGTACATTTGCTGTGTGAGTTTTTAATAGCTTTACATAGTTTATTATAAATTGCCTTTGGCAAATAGTTCTGACTTTTTAAGAAAATATGTTTTTTTTAAATTTTTTAGAGGGAGAGTGAGAGAGAGAGAAACATCGATTAGTTGCCTCCCGTACACACCTCAACCAGGGATAGAACCCAAAAGCTAAGCATGTGCCCTGACCTGGTATCAAACCAGCGACCTTTCAGTGCCTGAGACAGCACTCAATCAACTGAGCACACCAGCCAGGGCATAGTTTTGACTTGTATAATGAGTAAATGACAACTATAGGAGCTCTAGCTCCTTAAGATTTTTGCTAGTAGTTTAGAGTTGACTGTATAATGGAATCACCCAGAAGCTCTGAAAAATACCCCCAAAAAATTACCCAGATTTTTTTTTTTTTTTTCAGTTTCTCTGATGGGGGGGAAAGGGGTGTCCATGGCTGAGGACTTCATTTGTTACCTCTCAAATTGGCAAATATTACAAAGTATTGGAAAGAATGTGGGGAAGAAAAAAAAAGAGGATAGCCCTGCATAGTCTCTTGGGGCGTTTAAATCATACAGCCTTTGTTTGTTTGTTTTTTTGAAGGGTAAATCACCATTATGAAAGTTAAAATGAGCATGTGCTTTGACTCAGCAATTACAGTTTTAAATATCCTAGAAGAGTAATTACACATTTAAAAAGATGTACTAAGGTTTTTACTGAGACATTGTTTGAAATAACTAAAAATTAATATTCTCAATTCTTATCAATATGGGAGTTAACTTTTGGGGGAAAAGTGGAGAACAGTGGCTGTTTTTTTCTGAAAATCTATAGGTGTCTAGATAATTTTGCTGTAAAAACACTACAGTGGGGCCTTGACTTACGAGTGTCCCTACTAACGAGGTTTTTGAGATACCAGCTGTCTCTCAGCCAATTGCGTTGAGTTGATAGAGTAATTTGAGTTAACGAGCTCCTTAACGAGCTCGGTCTGGGAACAAATTAAACTCGTAAGTCAAGGCCCCACTGTATTAGAAATGGTTTTCAACAATATTTTCCAGAAAAGTTGTTGACTAATTCATGCTTTCTACTAAGTAGCAATAGGAAGGCACGTCAGGCATTGTTTTCATCAAACAATAATATCTGGAGTGTATTTCTGTAAAGATTCATGTCTACTTTTTTGCAGGATGGAGACGGATTGTAATCCCATGGAGCTAAGCAGTATGTCAGGATATGAAGAAAATGCAGAGCTTAATGGTTTTGAAGGGACTGACATGAAAGACATGAGGCTAGAAGCTGAAGCAGTTGTAAATGATGTTCTCTTTGCCGTGAACACCATGTTTGTCTCAAAAGCCCTGCGCTGTGCTGATGATGTGGCCTATATCAACGTGGAAACGAGAGAAAGGAACAGATACTGCCTGGAGCTCACTGAAGCAGGGCTTAAGGTGAGTGCCTTTTCTTTTTGGAAAAAGGAAGTATTTATACTTTACCACTTTATCAAAGAGGGGTCAGGGAGTGGGGACGAGTGTTAAATGAGAACTCAACACTCAGCAGCTAACGGGTTTTTTTTGGGGTGGTTTTTTTTTTTTAATGTATTTTATTGATTTTTTACAGAGAGGAAGGGAGAGGGATAGAGAGTTAGAAACATTGATCAGCTGCCTCCTGCACACTCCCTACTGGGTATGTGCCTGCAACCAATTACATGCCCTTGACCGGAATCGAACCTGGGACCCTTGAGTCCGCAGGCCGATGCTCTATCCATTGAGCCAAACCGGTTAGGGCTAACAGGGGTTTTTAAAGGAAAACTTTTATCTAGGAATTTTTAATAATACTCAAGTCTCTCACTAACATGGGGAAATGGAATTTTTTAAAAAAATTTGATTGGCACTATTACTTTGTTTTAATGATCACCCCTAAAATTAATTTATTTCTTATCTGTGGTTAAATAATGTGCACCAGAATTAGGTACTCCCTGCATTGGCTGAGTTTTATAGGCATTGTATTGAGAGGATCTTCCACCTCTTACAAATGTCTCTTCTGTGAAAACAACATACTTCACTGCTCCCCAGCTGTTAGATCAAAGTCCCGTTACAGCAGACAGTTTCACCTCTGAATTTCCAAGAGTGTCCTATTGGCTCTTTATTACAGCTGAGCTGTTCTAGGCAGTAACCTTAAATCCTTATACCAGAATCCTGAGTTTAGAATAGTAGAAAGTACCACCTGAAACCAACTTTTCATTTAAAAAAACAAAAAACACAACTTACTATTATAAAAATTTTGACCTGCTAAACAAAGGAGTAGTATTAGAAACTCCAAAATTTAATTGTAACTTTACTAATTAATTAATATTCAATCTCAATTAAAGATCTCTGACTTTTCTGTTTCTATTCTGTTTCAAAAGTTGCACAGAAATATATTTTATTGATTTTTTACAGAGAGGAAGGGAGAGAGAGAGAGAGTTAGAAACATCGATGAGAGAGAAACATCGATCAGCTGCCTCCTGCACGGGATGTGCCCGCAACCCAGGTACATGCCCTTGACCGGAATCGAACCTGGGACCTTTCAGGCCACAGGCCAACGCTCTATCCACTGAGCCAAACCGGTTTCGGCTGACTTTTCTGTTTCTATTCTGTTTCAAAAGTTGCACAGAATCATAAAGTAGAGGCCAAGGCCTAAGCAGGTGAGAATGTCATGTAATGATTTGTTCAAAGGCTACATGAACCTCCCTATTTCACTAGATTCGGTTCCTTAAGAAGCAGATGAGCCACGTGTTCCGTGTACCCCTTGTTAAGGATCACTTGCACTGAAGCGAATTGCAAAGCCAGCAGCTTGACTGCTCTCAGTTCCCTCACAGCTGCCATGCAGGTAGCTGCTTAGCTTAGAGAGTGAAACTTGAATTAACTAATTTTGTACACTCCTTTCTCAATCCCTAAATTTGTACTAAAAGCTTATTGTCTTCAGAAATGGATCTTAAATAGAAGTAGGTAAATCAAAAGTAGAGATAAATGACCCTGGATAAGTTAATTATATTTTACATTGATTAATTCTAAGGTAGCTATGGTGAAGTACGAGTGGTTCTGATCAGAGTCAGAAGTCTTACATGTGAATTTGAGTGATCTTGGGTAAGTTAGTCAACCTTTTGGAGTTTGATTCTTTATCTGTAACCTGGAGATCAAATTTAAAAACCAGAAAGGATTGGAGGATAATTATATGAATAAAGTATAGAGAAAGAACTGGGTCAGTTATAAAGCTTGACATGTAGGTACTTAAATTTTTTTTTCAGTCTGATTTGGTTAACATTCATTGAGCAACTATCCTGTGTTAGGAATTGGAAATGAAACTTTGAATAAGATATGATCCCTATCCTACTAGGAAGACCAGTCTTACAGGGATCAGAAAGGGGCAAACAGAGCTGTAACTCAGCCCAGCTGGTGTGGCTCAGTGGTTGATCGTTGCCCCATGAACCAGGAGGTCACAGTTCAATTCCTGGTCAGGGCACCTGCCCGGACTGTGGGCTCAATCCCCAGTGGAGGACATGCAGGAGGCAGCCAATCAATGATTCTCTGTCATCATTGATGTTTCTCTCTCTCCTTTTCCCTTCCTCTCTGAAATCAATAAAAATATACATATATATTTTTTAAATCTCCTTATCTTTAAAAAAACAACAATTATAATACAATGGACCCCCCCCCCCCCTTATCCACATGTTCACTTTCCACAGTTTCAGTTACCTGTGGTCAACCATGACTTGAAAATATTCAATGGAAAATTACAGTTTATACAGGGGTGGGCAAAAGTAGGTTAAATTACCAGCCATCATTATGTAAAAGATAAATTATAATTAAGGATACAGCCCTAGTCGGTTTGGCTCAGTGGATAGAGGGTGGGCCTGTGGACTGAAGTGTCCGGGATTCAAGGGCACATGCCCGGGTTGTGGGCTCGATCCCCAGTGGGGAGGAGGCAGCTGATCAATTCCCTCTCATCATTGATGTTTCTATCTCCCTTTCCCTTCCTGTCCGAAATCAATAAAAATATATTTTAAAAAATATATAAATAAGTAAGGATACAAAATAATAAGAATGAGACAAATAATACAAATAAATAATATAATAATAATACAAGAATAAACTTTTGGGTACTCACAGCTGTAAACCTACTTTTGCCAACCCCAGACATTTTATGTTGCACACCTTTCTGAGTGGTATGGTGAGATGCCGTGCCATCCTGCTCCGTACTGCCCGGGACATCCTTTGTCCAGCACATCCGTGCTATATACACTACTCGCCCGTTAGTCACTTGGTAGCCGTCTCAGGTACCAGATCGGTTATCAGAGAGAGCACATTTACATAACTTTAAATACAGTATATTGTTATAATTGTTCTATTTTATTAGTTATTAATTCATCTCTTACTGTACCTGGTTGATAAATTAAAGTTTATCATAGGTATGTACAGTATGTATGGGGGAAAAAAGTACATATAGGGCTTGGTCCTATCCATGGTTTCAGGCATCCACTGGGGGTCTTGGAACATCTTCCCTGCACATAGAGAGCTGCTGTGCACGTGGAAAGCGCTGCAGTAAAGCATGGTTCTGAAGAGGCATGTCATCCTCCTCCGGCGTCTGCCTCTGCTTTTCATTAAAACCACTCCTACTTCTAACATGAACTTGTGTCTTCTACAGATTGAATAGATGGCATAACAATTCAACGCTTACAGAGGGAATTCACAAGCTTTAGTTAAGTGAACAAAGACTAAAGTAATTTTGCCCTGTACTGTGCTGGTGAACTGTGATATGTCTTAAATAATCTTGGTGGAGAGAAAAGCTTTAGCTGCATTTAAAGAAAAATAAATAAAACAGTAACATTCCCTTTTATCTCACTGAGTTATGCATTCGTTTCCCTATTAGATAAGTAATGTATTAGTAATGTGAAATGGCCTTTCAGATAACTAATCATACAGGAGGATTAAAGCTATAAATACTTTCTAGAATTCTTTATAAAGAAAGAGTCCAGCCCTAACCGGTTTGGCTCAGTGGATAGAGCGTCAGCCTGCAAACTGAAGGGTCCCAGGTTCGATTCCGGTCAAGGGCATGTACCTTGGTTGTGGGCACATCCCCAGTGGGGAGTGTGCAGGAGGCAGCTGATGGATGTTTCTCTCTCATCGATGTTTCTAGCTCTCTATCCCTCTCCCTTCCTCTCTGTAAAAAATCAATAAAATATATTTTATAAAAGAAAGAAAAAAGAAAGAGTCCAAAGGATTAGTTCTAAGGTAGCTATGGTGAGGTATGGCTGGTTCTGATTAGAGTCAGAAGTCTTACATATGAAGCTAAGTAAATAGTGGATATATTATCTATTATAGTGCTTTTATATAGCAGGCTCTCAATACATGTGTAATTAAATTGAAACGTTTTATTTTTTTAAGCATGTTTTAAATTATGAGAATGAACACTGCTTTTGATAGCTTTTTAATTTTTTTCTCTATTTTACATTTGTTTTAGGACCAGGAGTTGGTAAATCAAACCATTAAAATTTTGGGAGAAAAAATTATAAAGAGAGTGTTTTGCAGGGGTTATTCCTTTAAGTTGTAAATTGCTTAAATATTTAAAAAATATATTAAAATATGCACATTTTAACTATTGATTGAAAAAAGTGTCATTAGAGAATGACCCAGGTAAACAACTGGTTTTTGCGCTGTCATGAGGAAATCTAATTATTGAATTCCCTCTTCTCTTGTAGATAGTAGGTTATGCTTTTGACCAGGTGGATGATCGCTTACAGAATCCCTACCATGAAACGGTCTACTCCCTGCTGGACACGCTCAGCCCCGCCTACCGGGAGGCCTTCGGAAACGCACTCCTTCAAAGACTGGAAGCTTTGAAAAGGGATGGACAGTCATGACTAAGCATTTTCCTTTGAGAGAGGGTGGCTGCTGGTACAAAATGTTGATGTAAAGCTTGAAATTCTTGCATAAGGTCGTAGAAAATCAAATGCATCTTTGATTTTGTGTCTTTATCTTTTCTTGCTTCAAATTTGGCTTTTGACTTAGAACATTATTGAGTAATGAATCGTCTTTCTTAGTTCCTGATTCATGAAGGGAATTGCTGTAAAACCATCATTAAGACATTCAAATTTCTTCATGTAGTATCTCTGCATTTCAAAACCAAATCAGTGTTTCATTCTGTTATCCAGGACTTCGATTGCTGCCAGCACTCTATCACATGGGAACTTCTGGATTTGCACAGTAATGTAGGATTTAAAAGGACCTACATGTAAACTTTGGTTCAGCTCGCTAAATCAGGGGTTTACTCCTAACTTGGACTAACTTTGTAATACTTCTTTTGGTACTAGCCTTACTGGAAACAAATTATCAACCAGTTTCCCCTGCACAAAATTTGAAATTCACTGAATCACTTCATCTATTTATATTACTGAAATGGACTGATGAAGATGATTTGAAGATATATTACTTAGCTAGTATTCAATGAACAACAGGGACTGAGATAGTTCTGTATTCCTTGTTTGCAACAGCCAGTGAACAAAGAGGACAACCGTTAGCAAATGAATGTAATAACTTTCTCCAAGGTGTTTAAGCACATAAGCAAATACAGGAACAGGCTCCATTCTTTTTCTTAACAAAAAGCATCTTCAGTGTGTAGGATTTAAAAGAAAGAAGATTCTGATTTCCTAAAAAACAGTCTTTTGGCCTGTGTTGATTCTTATTATGAATGTTTGTTTACATGATGTACAGTATATATTCAGAAAGTATTTTCGCCTCAGTGTTTACTTTCTATAATGCAGTACTTTGGTATTCCCACAGCACCCTCCTTCCCAGCAGATGTGCAGTGTTTCGTCTCAATGCCAAACCCACAGTGTAATCTGAGTGCATTGTATGGGTTTGAAAACCAAAGGATGAGGAAGCATTCCGAGACTTCATATTTGAAAAAGGGAGAAATCTGTATTTTATATTTTATTACAAGTACTAAGATTTATAAACTTAGTAAACTATACCATGCTGCTATGTGTTTTCAAGAACATGTTGAATAGTAAGGATTGGGGAAGTTTTTTTAATACTAGTAGTCAAAAGCAGCAGCTGTTAGAAATGTTGAACTAGAATTCTGCATTTGAACACTCCTTCAGAAATTGTCATTCGCAGGCTTTGTTTTCTATCATTATTAAGTAATGGGTACTTTCAGGCTCTGAAGTTTTTGTAGACCAGAGCGAATTAGAGTTTGGTTCCGGTCACTGTTTATTCCAAGCCCCATTGGAATGCTTTCATTATGGGTGATATGCATATTCATTCTCAGCTTTGCTTTCAGATGCTTAACTGTTTGGGCAGTGAAGTCTAACTTCAGGTTGAACAATCTCAGGCTAACTGTAAAGTTTGAATAAAATTCTATCTGTTCATTTTGAGTTAAGTATGCAGAAAAAAATGTATGTTTAAAAGTTGAAATTGTTCATTTTGTGATAAATGATTGATTCCAAGAGCTTCTGTTTCTTTTTTTGTTTTTAATAGAAATAGAAGAGTGTATAAAACCTGGACTTTCACTCCAAAGTCTTGCCACAATGGTATTGCTTGAAAGGTTAATCAATGCTTAGTGACATAGAGCTCTTAAGCTGTGACCTTTTGCAAAGAGATCTGGGGAGTAAGCCAATGCAATATCATTTCCATTTTTGAATTCAGTATTGTTACATTTTAATGTGAGGTGAGTTGCTCTTTTTATTACTATGAAAGAGGAACTTGGAGAGAAGACTTAGTAAAACGCTGATAATAAAACCTCCGCTAGATTGTGAAACCTCAATTTTACCTAGATTGTTTAAAGCAAATAGCTTAAAACCTTGATTACACTTCCAAAGGAAAAGGGAAAAATAACTTTAAATTTTAAAAAAAAATGAGAATGGGCAAATGATATAAACAACTCAGAAAAAAAATACAGATGTCCACTAGTAACTACTTGAAAGATATTCAACCTGACCAGTAATTCAAGAAAGGTAAATAGGTTTGGCTATGTTGGGCCATTTCACCTAATCATTTAATAATTTCTCTATATAACTAGAGGCCTGGTGCATGACATTCGTGCACTGGGGGTGGGGGTCCCTCAGCCCGGCCCGCACCCCCACTCCCCGCCCCCCCGGTGCATGAATGTCGTGCACTGGGCCTCTAGTATAGGATAAAAGCCTAAGCAACCATTATGGTGGAATGACCAGTATGACTGGTCGCTATGATGCCCACTGACCACTTGGGTCAGGCGCTCAACACAGGAGCTGCCCCGTGGTGGTCAGTGTGCTCCCACAGTGGGAGTGCCGCTCAGCCAGAAGCTGGGCTCACGGCTGGCGAGCACAGCAGTGGTGACGGGAGCCTTTCCTGCCGCCGCAGCAGCACTAAGGAGCAGCGAGCCGAGCAGTAAGGAGCAGACAGGTGGACATCCCTCAAGGGGTCCTGGACTGTGAGAGGGCACAGGCCGGGCTGAGAACCACCCCCCCCTCCAGTGCAGGAATTTTGTGCACCGGGCCTCTAGTTTAAATATAATGATACCAGTAAGGATTTAGTGAGAGGGCACTCTTACCTCTGTTGGAAGATATTCTGGCAAACATTGGTGGTAGAGCCTTTACAAAGTTTATAACTTGTGTTCCGGTGCTAGCCAGTTAGCATGGTGAGCGATTCTGAGGACATATACTGCAAGGATGTTCATTTTCTCTAATGAACCATTGGAATGGCTCTAAAAGTGATTAAGTTATGCCACATTGATGGGGGGAAATGACAATGGGGAAAATTAAACTACATGAAAAAAATAAGAAACTAACTTATTTTGGAAAATACTCTTCTATGTGAACAGGAAAATGAAATAAAATATTCTACATGTTCATAGTCCTCAGCAGGTGATAAGATAGGTAGTTTTCATTTTCTCTATGCTTTTTCACATTTTCTACATTTGCTTGTATATACTAATTGAAGGGGGAAGCAATAGATTTGGGGTTCAAGCTAGCTGAAGAACCTTCCTCTCTAGGAAAAGCACCAACCTGTGTTCAGTTGTGTGTGCTCCCAGGATCCCCATTCCCCATGGTGACCCCGTTCCCACCTTTCCCCGGGGTCCAGAATCAATTGTTACACTAACAACAGAGCGAATCAGTGTGTGTGGGATCATGATCATAGCTCTTCCATCGCACACTGCACCGTTCTCTCTCCAGTGTTCAAAAACAAAATGTGTTGACTGTCAAGGGAGAACAGGTTAGGAAAACACTGAGAGTCTACATGACATGTTAACTTCGGAGCTCTGCTTTCTCCCCCTTTCTTTGTGATAACAGAGCTGAGACTTGGACAGATGGAGGGACATGCTCAGCGGCCCACCTGTGGGCAGTAGAGTTGGGCAGAACATGGGTCTTCTGACTCCACAGCATAGCCCACAGTGAGCGTTAATAAAAGCAGCTCCTGAACTCTGTTTATATGAGAGCTGATTTTAAAAGAGGGAAGGAATAACAATAAAAGATGTGTTAATGGGTATAACAATTACAGAACCCCCCAACCTACCGTATGTAAAATTCTCTGGAAGCAATCCCCTTATAACTCTGGCGCTAACACATTGGCCCGTTGTCAGCAGTGTGAACTAGGAGAAGGAAACACAGGCGAGATATTTTATAGTAGCATGACCAGTAGATAACTTTCAAAGTACTTACCTGTTAAACTTCATATCAGTAGGAACAAACTAAAAATCTGGAAATGAGGCATCTAGGGAGTTCTAGAATATTTGATCTAACAAGCCATTTGAAAGGATGGTGGAAGATATTCCATCGAGTTTTGCACTGGTCGTGCATGAGTATTTTTATATTTAAACACTTGGAGTGCGGGAAACGAGTTAAGTCGGCTCGCGTGAATTGCGCGTACTCCGCGGGAGCCGTCTTTAACTCGGTTCATATAGATTTGCGGTGGAGTGCGGGAAACGTGTAAACTCGGGCCGATTGTAACTGCGTATTACCAAATATTTGTTTGTAATCCACCCTTTTGGTGGATGGAACAAAACCAAAAGACAGAGCCATCTTATATTTTGGCGGGAAATTCACCCGCACTCCAAGTGTTTTAAGTTGACAGCATTTTATTGTTGATAATTTTTTAGAAAGAATGTTACTATGAGCAATCTTTTCCAAAATTGAGTGCAGAATGTCAGTGTTAATTATTTTATCAAAACAGAAGCTCGAATGAAACATATAAACAAGGGAAGTGGGTGAGGACGCCCCCCCCCCCCCCCCCGCCCCCGCCAAAAAAAGGAATGAAAGGCTCCCATTTGTAGCAGTGTGCCTTAGGCTTACAGAATAAAAGCAATTGCACCTTTGGAGACCATTTCAGAAAAAGCTCTCATGCATGTCTTATTTAATCCTAACAGCCCTGGAGGCTGGTGGTTTCACCCCTGTTTTACAGCCAATTTAACAGCTTGGGGAAGGTTAAAAGATGGGTCCCAGGCTCCAGCAAAAGGCTGCAGAGCTGTAACTCAGCCAACTCTTGAGTGCCTGACAGCCCGGAGCCTCCCAGTTTTCTGGAGCTCCCGGGCCACCTGCATTTTTTGAGGCAAGCAGTATTTAAAAAATAAAATAGAAATTGCTGCATGTGTTAAACATTTACATTGAGCAAGTCAATGTTTAAAGCACAAAAATATCTCAATAGAATCAGGCTACTCCAAGATAACAAATGGCAAGATGTAGTCTTAAGTGGAATGTCATCTTTTCACTTGTCGGTTGCTGTGGGCAACTGCATGTGCAGTCTTATTTGGAAAGGTCAAAACCTAAATTCCATCCCTGAGTGAATGTGGGCGATTGGGTCCCCAGCACCGTGGCCTCTGGCTGCCTCCACCCCACCCACTTCCAGAGGTCTTTCCGGAAATGACCCCTAGGCCAGGGGAGCCCCAGGGACCAAGCAGCATGGCTGCCCAGGGGGGGCCACCCATACTATCGTTCGCGTGTCCAGGACCCGAAATTCCAGGGCAACGCTCTTCGTAACAGTAGAGGATGATGCCAGGTCCTCCCGGTGAGACCATTTCACATTAACTCCAATTCCAGGGGAGGCCTAGGCGGTAGCTCAACCTTCTCATCAGATTCATCAATAATTGTAGTCCTCCTAGTCCTCCCTGCCAAGTGGACACTGGGGCGTGTTTCCAGAGTTTCCGAATGAAAGAGCAGAAAAGGAACAGGTCGCGCCCTGCCCGAGGGCACCCGGCGTGTAGCAGGGCTGAGTGGGACCCGGGCTGCAGGCACAGCGGGCGGGGCAGAGCCCTGGGAGCGCGGGGAACCAGTGGCCCCGCCCACCCACGGACGCCCCGCCCAGCGCCCTAGGCCCCGCCCCCGGGGAGCGGCTTTGGCCCAGCGGTCCGGAGGCCTTGACCTCGCCGCCTTGGCAACCAAAGGGACGCTTTCCCCTTAGCTACCAGAGCGGCTCCCGCCATGGCCGAAGAAGAGGATATCGTCCGGACAGAGAAAGTTATCCGGGTCCAGAGGGTGTTTATAAACCTGCTGGACTCCTACAGCAGCGGAAACATTGGGAAGGTGAGCGGCGGCGGGACCCTGGCCCCCAACTCCATTCCAGCGCCCCGGGTCCCGAACCCTGAGAGGTCCTGTGCCGCGGGCTGCTGTCCGGGCCCCTCCTTAAGAGAGGGTCCCTCTTCCTGGGCACAGCCAATGCCCCCAGGACCCCAGTCCGAATCCAGGCTAGACAGCCACCCCACCTGGAAGTCCTCTTCCCCACCCCCACCCCCGAGATCGCGGGTGCAGCCCTGAGTCCTCCCCTGTTAATGAGGGGAAACTGAGGCTCAGCGGAAGGAAGGGACCTGCCCAAGATCACATAGTGAGTTGGAGGCAGAACCTGGAAATAGAACCCAGGTCTCTGACCCCTTAACTGGGCTGTTTCCACTCCACCACCGCAGCCGAAGCGCGCAGCTGATAAGAATATAAATCCAAATCAGTGCCCTAACCGGTTTGGCTCAATGGATAGACTCTGCCTGTGGACTGAAGGGTCCCAGGTTCGATTCTGGTCAAGGGCATGTACCTTGGTTGCAAGCACATCCCCAGTGGGGAGTGTGAGGGAGGCAGCTGAATCGATGTTCCTCTCTCATTGATGTTTCTCTCTATCCCTCTCCCTTCCTCTCTGTAAAAAATCAATAAAATATGTTTTTATTAAAAAATAAATAAATGAATCCAAATCAGTCACGGGGATGGGGACATAAAGTACACAGCATAGGGATTACAGTAAAAAATATTGCAATACTATGGGTGGTGCCACGTGGGTACTGGAAATATCAGGGGAACACTTTGTAAAGTAGATATTATCTCTAACCCCTATGCTGTGCACATGAAACTAATACAAACTAATATTGAATGTACACTGTCATTTTAAAAATTCATCCAATGGTTATATCACCCACAAAGTATTTTCCATTCTCTTCTCCCCTTGGTGTCTCTGTCGCCAAAGTTCCCTCTTCTGATAAGGACACCAGTCATTGGCTTAGAGCCCACCCTGACCTGGCATAAGTTCATTTAACCTGATTACATCTGCAAAGACCCTCTTTCCAACTATGTTCAGATTCACACGTTCCTGGTGGACAGGAATTTGTGGGGGAGGGGACACTGGTCAACCCAGCACATCATCTAAAGTTGATCAGTCAAAAATATATAGACTTAGGTATATAATTTATATGTAGAAATAGTAGCTCTTATACAGTACATCATTATCTAAGATATACAATATATGTGATATTATATGTATTTATGTAATAGGTATTTCCTAGAAGAGACTGAAATCACATGATCAGAAAAGGGGGAAAGAAGGAACAAAGACAAACAAAACTAAAACAATACAATAACCAAATTTTTTTTTCTTTTAAATATATTTTATTGATTTTTTACAGAGAGGAAGGGAGAGGGACAGAGAGCTACAAACATCAATGAGAGAGAAACATCCATCAGCTGCCCCCTGCACACTCCCCACTGGGGATGTGCCCACAACCAAGGTACATGCCCTTGACCGGAATCAAACCTGGGACCCGTGAGTCCACAGGCCGACGCTCTATCCACTGAGCCAAACCGGTCAGGGCACAATAACCAAATTTTTTTAAAGAAGCATTAAAAAGACAGATGTATGTATTTCTGTGTGTCTTTCAAAAAAAATAGATATAGATATAGAAAAGATAAATTGATAGATAGATATTCTATACACAGAAAATGCCTCATAGGATACACAAGCCACTTCACTAGTATCACCTCTTCGGATGGGACTCATTCATGCCCACCTACACAATGGCAGGCAACAGAGAATATCACAACGAATAAGACCAAAAAAAGGTTGTTGCCCTCATGGACCCTCTGTCTCCAAGAAGACAGACAATCACTAGTATTTAGAATAAACAAAACATTTCCATGTGTGATAAATACTCTGCAGGCCAGAGGACCTCCAACGTGGACTGGTGGGCGAGAGCAGCGGCTTCACACAGAGTCGCACAAAGCGGCTCTTGAATCTGGCCCAGGGCGAGGAGCAGGCCCCAGGAACTAGTTCTCAGAGGGCACGCCAAGGGCAAAGGCCCCGAGGGGGGAGTCAGGTTGGCCTCCTCAGAGGACAGAGTGGCGGGGATGGGGCAGTGACCGGCAGCTCCAGGGCTGATTCATTGGTGCAGCAGACAGTGCCCAGGGCCCAGGGGACTTTGGGGCCCAGGAGACTTTGGGACCCACAAAAATGTTTGCATTTCTTTGAAAATCAGAAGGAAGCATCTGAAATTTGAGGATCAAAGATTATGTTTGTCTTTATAGCAACACACATGTAAAGTCTAATTTTTAATGTTTTGTTTGTTTGTTTGTTTGTTTTTTCAAAATCCTTCAGCTCAGAAGTAGCAGAGTTAAAATTCAATCCCAGGTCTTCTCTGAATCCACAGCCTGAGCTCTTTTTAAAATATATATATATTTCTTTATTGATTTCAGAGAGGAAGGAAGAGGGAGAGAGAGATAGAAACATCAATGATGAGAAAGAATCATTGATCGCCTGCCTCCTGCACGCCCCTTACTGGGGACCGAGTCTGCAACCCAGGCATGTGCCCTTGGCCTGAATCGAACCCGGGACCCTTCAGTCCGCAGGCCGACGCTTTATCCACTGAGCCAAACTGGCTAGGGCTTAATGTTTTTTTAAGGAGGAAAGGGCCCATGAAATGTGGCCCTGCTCGGCAACTAAACAGTGCCTCACACATGCTCAGCACCCCATCGATATTTGTTGCATAAATTAACGAAGGAGAGTCAAGCGCAAAGGCCCGGATCGTGCGGGGTTAGGCGCTTGGTTTATATTCTCATCCCATGAAGGCCACTGGAGTCTTTAAAAAGGGAGGTGACATGATTGAGATGAGAAGGGGGAGAGAAGGGAGAGAATGTAACTTTTTACTTTATCTCGTTTCGATCCCTGATTATTGTTGAACAGTGTATCTGCGGAATAAAACTTTTAGTTTGTAGAGGTATCTTTTCAAAAGCTTATCAATAACAGAATTTTCTGGCTTTTCCTTCACTAACTAGGACCTCTCTTTCTCCAATGCCAAGTAATTACTGTTGTCTGTACTATTAACCTAAACATGAAAAGCTGAGTAAAAGGCAATCATTGTCTATTTGAGATCAAAAAAAGTAGCTGTTCAGGAATCACAGATTTCGGGAGAAGCCCAGGTAGTGTTCTAATTAGGGGGGGTGAAGGCGAAGGGATTTTATGAGACAAGGAAGGGAAATAATTACATGAATAGAAGGAAGGAATTTCTGTTGGGGTTAAGAAGTCAAGGGAAGGCCCAGCTAGTCTGGCTCAGTATGGAGCATTGACCTATGAACCATGAGGTCATGGTTCAAATCCCGGTCAGGGCACATGCCCGGTTTCGGGCTCGATCCCCAGTAGGGGGCATGCAGGAGGCAGCCAATCAATGATTCTCTCTCATCATTGATGTTTCTATCTCTCTCCCTCTTCATTTTTCTCTAAAACCAATAAAATATATATATACTAGAGGCCTGGTGCACAAGATTCGTGCATTGAGGGGCATGGGGGGTCCCTCAGCCCAGGTTGTGCCCTCTTGCAGTCTGGGACCCTCGGGGGATGTCCAACTGCCAGCTTAGGACCCCTCGGGATTGGGCCTAAGCTGGCAGTCAGACATCCCTTTTGCGGTCCGGGCCTCTCGCAGACTGGGACCCCTCACTCCTTACCGTCCACCTGCAGCAGAGGTGGGAGAGGCTCCTGCCACCGTTGCTGTGCTCGCCAGCCGTGAGCCTGGCTTCTGGCTGAGTGGCGCTCCCCCTGTGGGAGCATACTGACCACCAGGGGCAGCTCCTGCGCTGAGCGTTTGCCCCCTGGTGGTCAGTGCACGTCATAGCGACCAGTCGTTCTGCCATTCGGTCAATTTGCATATTATGTTTTTATTATATAGGATTTTTTAAAAAATATTTTTAATTGATTTTTATAGAGAGGAAGGGAGAGGGATAGAGAGTTAGAAATATTGATGAGAGAGAAACATTTATCCGCTGCCTCCTGCACACCCCCTTCTGGGGATGTGCCTGCAACCAAGGTACATGCCCTTGACTGGAATCAAACCTGGGACCCTTCAGTCCACAGGCCGATGCTCTATCCACTGAGCCAAACTGGTTAGGGCAGGATTCTTTAAAGTCAAGGAAAGAGCTTCTAGACATTCAAATAAGCTAAGTTATTCTTTAGCCATACACGGAGATGCTCATTCTAAAGAATTTATTTCAGCCCTGGCTGGTTTGGCTCAGTGGATAGTGTTGGCCTGCGGACTGAAGGGTCCTGGGTTTGATTCCAGTCAAGGGCACATGCGCGGGTTGCTGGGCTCAATCCCCAGTGGGAGGAGGGGGGAGGATGTGTAGGAGGCAGCCGATCAATGATTCTCTCTCATCATTGATATTTTTGTTTCTCTCTTCCTCTCCCTTCTTCTCTGAAATTAATAAAAATATATATTTTTTAAAAAATGCATTTCATTTTCATGTATGGCACCTCTAGCAACCCTAACGAAAGACAGGTTCTTAGAATCATCATTCATTGACTCCAAGGTGTTCTTAGTATTGGGGAACTCGCTCTTGTCTTGCAGTTTCTATCGAACTGTGTGGTCGGGGCTTCCCTTGAAGAAATGACAGAAGAAGAAGAAGAGGATGATGAGAGTAAGTCAGCTATTCCAGATGCCTCCTCATCCAAACTGAAGGAGGGCACGTTCCAGATCGTGGGCACGCTTTCCACATCCGGAAAACCCTCGCCCGACTTTGCCCTGGAGACGTACTCCGTAAGTCCTAGTGGTTTCTGCTGAGAGCAGACAGAGGGAAGCGTCACCTACCGCCCCCCCCACAAGACCCCCCTTATAACATGTCCTTGCTCTGCTTCTCATGCCCCACCTTCTGCACATGTGTGGGGCTTGGGAAGGTGAGGGGCAAGGTGGGGGCTGGCCTTTTGTCCTAAAAAGGAAATGAACCACCATTGTTGAGACTTTAAAGAATTTAAATTAGCCCTAGCCAATCTGGCTCAGTGGAAAGAGTGTCAGCCTGTGGACTGAAGGGTCCTGGGTTCGATTCCAGCCAAGGGCACATGCCTGGGTTGTGGGCTCAATCCTCAGTAGGGGGCGTACAGGAGGCAGCCGATCAATGTTGGTTTCTATCTCTCTCTTCCTCTCCCTTCCTCTCTGAAATCAATAAAAATATTTTTTTAAAAATAAGAATTTAAATTAGACATTCCTGGAAGTATGAATCTCATTTGGATTTCCAGACTCCTCACATTCTCTCTATATACTGTATTTAAAATGTACTCTGCCCTGCATGACCCCAGCACAGCCCTGGGCCCTGGTGGGCGCTATCTGCGAAGGGACATCTCCTTTGGAATAACGTGCCATCATATTGCTGTCTCACTGAGAAACACTGCTGCCTCCACATGGCAAATGCAAGTTCTGGTTTGGAAATGCGTGGTCCTTGTGTGGTTATCTTAACACCCACTCTCGATATTGCTCTACTCGGAAATGTGCTATGTGTGGGCATCCACACAGCGAGGAATCACCAGTTAAAACACGATGATCACCCTGGCCCGTGTGGCTCAGTTGGTTGAGCATCGTCCTCTGCACCAAAAGGTAACTGGTTTGATTCCCGTTCAAGACACATGACCAGGATGCAGGTTCCTAGTCAGGGTGTATATGGAAAGCAACTGATCTCTCTCACATCAGTCTCTCTCTCTCTTTCTTCTCCTTCTTCTTCTTCTCCTCCTCCTCCTCCTCCTCCTCCTCCTCCTCCTCCTTCTTCTTCTTCTTCTTCTTCTTCTTCTTCTTCTTCTTCTTCTTCTTCTTCTTCTCCCTTCCTCTCTTTCTAAAAATCCATTAAAAAACGTTAAAAAAAACAAACACGATGATCACCCCAGTTACTTTTGTCTACTCTAAGAACTTTATATTTCTAACCATTAAAAGTTTCTGCATTTTTAAAATATTCCCAACAGTCAACTGTAATAAGATACCTTACATCTCGAAAGAGAACGGATTGGTTCCATCTCGAGGATGCTGAAACAATCCCCATAAATCACTCATCAGCCCTTCTGAGGGACTCAAGATATATAATCGCTCAAATAATCTTGCAGAGAGTCTGAGTGAGTTTTGAATGCCTCCCCCTGTTTTTCCCCCAGTGTGTCCTAATTCTTCCCTTCTGAATTGGGGTGTAAATGGCATACCTAATCATCATGCAACTTTTTAATCATCTGTTCCCAGCTATTTCCGTAAGTGTCTTTGTTATTTGAAAACCACCCACAGCAGAGAGCCAAAATTTCATTTCCAAAGGAACCCTCCTTCTGCAAATGTTTTCAGTGGGATTCTTCCGTGCAGGGTATCTCATTGGGAAACTGTCATTCCATCCACATATCACCGATCCTTCGTCAGCTTCTTGAACAAATGACTGTCGGTTCCCTTCCCAGGACATTTCTCGAGAAGAACTTCTCATGCGCCTGCTGGAGTGCGATGTCATTATTTACAACATCACGGAGAGCCCGAAGCAAGCGGAGGAAGCCCTGTGGGCAGTGTCTGGTCAGTGAGGGGACCCCTTTATCTCCGGGGACACCCCTTGGGTGTCATTTACTTTACTGAAGAGTCATTTAAGAGTCATCAAATTAGGACCATTAGAAGAAGCGAGACTTACTAAACCCAAAATGAAATTAGGCTAATGGATATGCCTGTGATAAACAAAGACATATTAAAATGTTTCAGAGTTTATTTGAGCAAAAATCAATTCAAATTAGGTAGTGCCAACCTGGAAGCGGGTAGGAGTGCTCCATCCACAGGAGCTGGGGGAAGGCTTGTCTAGAGAAAAGCAGGGAAAAAAAAGCAAAGAAAGAACTTGATTGGCTATAGCTGAAGCGTTTACCTTATGTGGAAGAGCCTAGTGGGCTGTGATTGGTTGTCCTTACATTTTTATTTCTTTTTTTTAATTGATTTTTTGAGAGAGAGAGAGAAATATTATTTTACTGTTCCACTTATTTATGCCTTCATTGGTGCCCGGACCAGGGACCGAGCCCGCAACCTTGGCATATCGGGACGACACTCTCACCCACTGAGCTACCAGCCAGGGCTTGAGTTCTTAACCTGGAGGCATTTACTGGCTTCATTGTGGGTTTGCTGACCTAGGCTGCGAAGGTACCTGAACCACCTCCGTCTAATGCAGCGGTTCTCAACCTGTGGGTCGCAACCCTTTCTCAGGGGTCGCCTAAGACCATCGGAAAACACATATATAATTACATATTGTTTTTGTGATTAATCACTATGCTTTAATTATGTTCAATTTGTAACAATGAAATTGGGGGTCACCACAACATGAGGAACTGTATTAAAGGATCGCGGCATTAGGATGGTTGAGAACCACTGGAATGGGCCTCCTTGTTTAATTACGTTAACAAAATATCCTATCCCAAGGAACAGGATATTCTTAATCATTGAAAGAAAGGAAACATTAACTTCCAAAGCGTGACCTTGACTCATTCTGCAGACACTGCTTAAGGAGGTGCGGTTGACTGTAATGGGCAGATACAGAACAAATAAGAAAAAGATTGTACCTACCAGGCACTTGGAGGCCTAAAGAGAGCGAAGGAACACACGAGAAACTTGACCGCGGGATAGAGAATGGCACATTCACCGGAAAGGCATCACAGGGGGTGACTTTGAGAGGAGAGGAATTATTTCTAACTGTGAGGGTTTGATTCAGGCCAACAAATGCCCCCAGATGGCAAGAGGTAGGGAGGGCTGTGGGGAATGCTTGCAGCTTTTATTTATTTATTTATTTATTTATTTATTTAATATTTTTATTGGTTTCAGAGAGGAAAGGAGAGGGAGATAGAGATAGAAACCTCAATGGTGAGAGAGAATATTGATGGGCTGCCTCCTGCACGCCCCCTACTGGGGATCGAGCCCGCAACCTGAGCATGTGCCCGTGACTGGAGTCAAACCCGGGACCCTCCAGTCCGCAGTGCGACGCTGTATCCCCTGAGCCAAACCAGCGAGGGCTGCTTGCAGCTTTTGAAATGCTCTGGGAAAGTGATGACCTCTAGGACCCTCAACTCTAGAAGGACGAGGTGCTGTTTAGCAATTTGGTGCGTGGTAATTTATCTCCTCATTAAGTCAGGGGCAAAGAAGAAAGCAGATCGGCTTATCTGAATCGTTGCTCTAGACTGGGGCAGCCAAAAAGACACAAAACACCCGACTTTCCAATGCTTTTTGCACCGCATTATCTTTGCTTTAGACTGTTCAGATCAGCGGCCAGCGAACTCTTTCTGTGAAGGGCCAGATAGTAAACATTTTTGGCTTTTCGAGCCAACTACTCTGCCATCATCGCCAGAACAGAGCATAAATGATATGTAAATGAATGGTCTGGTTCCAATTAAATTTTATTTTATTTCTTAATGTTTTTATTGAGTTCAGAGAGGAAGGGAGAGGGAGAGAGAGAGAGAGAAACATCAATGATGAGAGAGAACCACTGATCAGCTGCCTCCTGCACGCCCCCACGGGGGATCGAGCCCACACCGGGGCATATGCCCCTCCCCATCGCCACCACTGGGAATGGAAGGTGACCTCCTAGTTCATAGGTCGATGTTCAAACACTGAGCCATGCCAGTTGGGCAATAAAATCTTGTTTTAAAAGCAGGCAGTACTTTTGCCAACCCCTGATAATATCAACAGCAAAGCCACATGTTGGCTTACAGGAAAGAAATGGAACAGAGCCTCAGGAATGCGTCTACCTATTCAGGGAAATCGTGATGAAAAAGTGCTTCCATGGGCGGGTGGGATTCCTCGGGAGCTTAACATGATTGATTCCCTCCCCTTTGTAACTTTGGGCCTAAATTTCATTCAATAAGATACAAATCAAAAACGTGAACATTGTGCCATCTTTTAGGAACAGAGCTTTTGGGAAGCCTGCTGGGGGCATTTCGTCCCTTGGCAAATACGTACAGATGATGGATAATGGCACCTCCTGAAATAATTGCACCCCTACAGTGGCAATCAGAGATAATGTTTGTCGAGTTCCTATTTTGTGCCAGGCTATGGAAATTGATTTTTCTATGTAATGAATCCTTGCAATTTTCTTAAGATTTCTAATGTTTTGTGTGGTTTTCTTCCTGAAGTTAAACCGGGACAGGGTTTGAAAATTAAAAAGCACAGTCCTGGCCTGGTAGCTCAGTGGGTTGGAGCATCACCCTGATATGCCGGGGTGCGGGTTCCATGCCGGGTCAGGGCACCTACAAGGACCGGCCAATGAGTGCATATGTGGGTGGAGCAACAAATCAAGATTTCTCTCTCTCTTTTCCTTTCTCTCTCTAAAATCAATAAATAATCTTTTAAAAGAAAAGGGAAATTAAAAGGCGCAGGAGTGCTTAGAATAAAAAGCAACAATTCCCCGCTTTTTCTTCCTATCCCATTTCTACTCCCTAAAAGGAACCTCCTTTAACCTCTTGTTCTTTTTAATACATGAAAATGCCTGCGCTGATGTCCTTTGATTGTGAATTTCAGACACTGACCGTTGACTTCCTGCTATGACAGGTGACCTTCGGCCCCTCATAGGGCTCCCCAACCAGTGCCCCTCAGGGGAATGTAGTTGGTTCTTAAACTTTGATCACGGCATTTCCTTTCATGGGTGTTCAAGTGCAGAGTATGTTTTACCGACCCCTTCTTCATTCTGATAAGGAGCTTTATATAAGAAAATTTTACCTCTCTATTGGGTGGGAAGGTGGTGGCAGTATTACCTCATTTTTGATATAGAGAGTGATTGTGTCTACAAGGACGTATAGTCAGAGGCCCTTGGTCTGCCTTCAGGGTCACCTGGGAGCAGGAGGTAGGTGGGTCTGTGGAGAAGGGGGGATGGGAGTGGGGGTGGGACTTTGTCGGTTTACCTGAGGCACATTCTTAGATTTTGGGGGTTTTGTTTCATTTTGGTTTTGTGATGGATATGTATTACTTCTTTTTTTAAAAAAATATATTTTATTGATTTTTTTACAGAAAGGAAGGGAGAGGGATAGAGAGTTAGAAACATCAATGAGAGAGAAACATCCATCAGCTGCCTCTTGCACACCCCCTACTGGGGATGTGCCCACAATCAAGGTACATGCCCTTGACTGGAATTGAACCTGGGACCCTTCAGTCCGCAAGCCGTCGCTCTATCCACTGAGCCAAACCGGTTAGGGCTGTATTACTTCTTAATAATGTTTTATTAAATTACTGGAGGCCCAGTGCATGAATTCATGCAAGGGTGGGGTACCTTGACCTGGCCGGCAATCAAGGCCTATTGGGGTGGGGGGGGGGAGCGGCTGGCAGAGGGGAGGGATCGCAGGAGGTTGGCCAGCCCAGGGAGGGGGGGAGGGGCCACGGGAGATTGGCCTGCCAGCCCCCCACACCCCCTGATCAGCGCCCGGGGTGGGAGGGACTGTGGGAGGTTGGCTGTGGGAGCGCACTGACCACCTGCATTTGAGCGTCTGCCTCCTGGTGGTCAGTTTGCATCATAGCAATTGGTCAACCGGTTATTCCGGTTGTTCCAGTCATTCGGTCCTAATGGTCACTTAGGCTTTTATATATATAGATGTGAACATTTTAATATAAAAGAATTCTCCTACCTCGCCTTTCAGATACTATCAAAGGAAGGTAAAAGGACATAGGAGAAAGGAAAACAGTATTAGAAATTAGAGAAAACGTTTGCGCATGTGGGTGAAATGTGCTTGAAATGTCCACAGTGAACAAGCAGATCGTTTTGACCCATTAAGATGATAAATCCAGGCGACAGCCCAGTTAGAGCAGCTCTGAGGTGCCGGCTTCCACAAAGTAGGCCAGACGAAACCACCAGAGAGAGAGGCTGAGAGAGCAAACGGAAGAGGCCGTCTTTGTTAATAGAATTAAGACAGGAGCTGAAATTAACACCCAAGTGGGATTAAGGTGCGGACGTGGCGCTCTTAGATTTAACCCCAGGATACTTTCTCATTCTGTCAAACCCACCCATTTAGTAGATTCAGGATATCGGCAGTTCCTTGTTTTGCTTGTTGTTTAAGGAATCAGCTCGTGAGACTACACTATGAGTAACTGTGTCACTTAGGTCCTCTGACAATTTAACCAGCCTTCACTTTAGGTTTTTTTTTTCTGGGATTTTACACACCATCAAAAATATTTTAGGGGAATCCCACGTGCAAAGTATCCAAGAAGAGTCGGTGCTTAGATGTGCGGGGAGCCCCCCTGGAGAGTGGCAAACCCTTAGGAAATCAAATGCTCCCCCTCCACCCACTGTGTCCTAAATCCCCATCCCGCACCCCCACACTGCCCCCAGTCACCCCCTCTCCCGCAGGGCGCTCTCCCCCACCCAGGGAAGTGGGAAGGGGTCACACCCCAAATTACTTCCTTCCACAAGGACTTAGGCTCCATCGGGCTGCTCTATGTGAGTTCCCAGGAGGGCCTTCCCTTCTGCTTTGGGGCGCCCACAGCCCCCATCCCCAACCTTGCTGGGGCCTCCCGGTCCCTCCCCTCGCAGCTGGGCCCACAGCCTAGAGAGAGAGCACAGGCCTTGCAGCCGGGTGGCCTGGGTGGGCTCTCAGCCCCACCCCTTCCTCCCATGATTCTGGGCACACGGGACCTCCGTTCCCTTCCCTATAGAGCAGAGGTCAGGGTAGTACCTATTTCATATGGTGAGCGTTCCATAAAGCCCATGAGTCGTGCCCATCCACGTCCGCCATGACTGTCTCCATCACTGGTCCTCCTACCAGGTGAGGGCACACACCTGCAGGCTCAGGGAGGGAGGGAGCGCAGATTCTCCGCTGGGCGCAGAGGAGGTCAGGGGGCTGGAGAGAGAATGCCAATGATGCCACCCTGGCGTTAAGTTGGAAAAACGAGTCGCTTCCTGTCACACTAACAGTACACGTGGCTTCGAAAGTGCACACGTTGTGTGGATCCAAGTAACGCTGGCTCTTTGGCCCCACAGCACTGAATGAGGAAGTCAACCACTTTGAGAAGCGAAAGGTGTTTATTTTAGTTTCCACGGTGATGACCTGGGCACGATCCAAACCGCTGGACCCTGTAAGTAGTCTCTAAATCTGATGGGTCTGGGGGAAATCACTCTGAAATAAATAACCTAGAAATAGAAAGAAATTCAGCCCTCGCCTGTTTGGCTGAGTGGATCGAGCGTCGGCTCGGCCCTCAGACTGAAGCAGTGGTTCTCAACCTTCTGGCCCTTTAAGTACAGTTCCTTATGTGGTGACCCCCAACCATAAAATTATTTTCGTTGCTACTTCACAACTGTAATGTTGCTACTGTTATGAATCGTGATGTAAATATCTGATATGCAGGATGGTCTTAGGCGACCCCTGTGAAAGGGTCGTTCGACCGCCAAAGGGGTCGTGACCCACAGGGTGAGAACCGCTGGACTGAAGGGTCGTGGGTTTGATTCCGGTCAAGGGCACGTACCTCAGTTGCAGGCTCCATCCCAGGCCTGGTCGGGGCGGAGAAAACCAATGAGGGCAGAGGCAACCAATCGATGTGTCTCCCTCACATTGATGTTTCTCTCTGTCTCTCCCCCTCTCGTCCACTCTCTAAAAATCAATGGAAAAATATCCTCACGTGAGGATTAACAAAAAAATAAATAAATGAGAAGCAGTTTTTAGAATACTTTATTTGGGCTTAAAGCAGCGGTTCTCAACCTGTGGGTCGCGACCCCTTTGGCGGTCGAACGACCCTTTCACAGGGGTCGCCTAAGACCATCCTGCATAGCAGATATTTACATTACGATTCATAACAGTAGCAAATTACAGTTGTGAAGTAGCAACGAAAATAATGTTATGGTTGGGTCACAACATGAGGAACTGTATTTAAAGGGCAAGAGGTTGAGAACCACTGCTCTAACACATCGAGTTTGGCCCTGTTTTCTTTCATAGGAAGATTCTGAGGTTCCGTTTACTGAAGAGGATTATCGAAGGAGAAAGCACCATCCTAATTTTCTGGACCACATAAATGCTGAGAAAATGGTTCTCAAATTTGGAAAAAATGTAAGTCTAAAGTAGTAGAGCATTTTGGGTAAGAAAAGTTCTGGAGTTTTTACACATTTCAGGCCACATTTTTTTAAAAAACAAACAAACATGCTTTTATTGATTTCAGAGAGAGAGGAAGGGAGAGGGAGAGAGGGATAGAAACATCAATGATGAGAGAAAATCATGGATCAGCTGCCTCCTGCACACCCCACACTGGGGATTGAGCCTGCAACCCAGGCATGTGCCCTGACCAGGAATTGAACTGTGACCTCCTGGTTCATAGGTCGTCACTCAACCACTAGCCACACCAGTTGGGCAAGAACCGTGTGTGGTTTTTTTTTGAGGCAGCGTGCCATAGGCATGGCCAGGACTGTCCCGCATGCTTTTTTATACGTCATCTCAGCTCTTTAAACATCTGTGTTCCGTTTCCTCGTCCTTACACCCACAGATTTCTGAGCTTCAGGCTCACCCCAAGATGCACTGTCCTGACCCAGGTTCTGGTCCAGCCCACTAAGTTGAAAACTTGTATCTGGTCCCCATAAAACGCAAGCTCCTACCTACCAAGGCGTCTGTGGGTCCGAAGGGTTGCTCAGCCCAGAAGCAGCAAATAACTCCGAGTTGGAACGGGGAGGGGAGGGGATCACATTTTCCCTTTTTCAAGAATCTCTCTTGTTTGTTTCTGACAACTCTGAAAAGCGCATACTAACCTCATGTTACAAATAAGGAGACAGGCTCCTGGGGGTTAAGCAACTTGCTCAAGGTCACGTAGGCAGGGTTTACTGAGCACCAGTCTGAGCGCTGTCTGGCCCGTCTGACCTGCTCCTCACAGCAGCAGAATTGTAGACGTGCGCAATTACCCCATTTCACGGATGTGGACACTGGGTAGGCGGGTCCAGTGCTAGAGCAGTGACTCAAACCTAGATCCATCGGCCTGCGGGTTGGGTTGCGTTTGGTTTCTGACTCCAGAGCTCCATCATTCAGGAAAGTTGATCTCCACACACCCGGCCACCGGTTGCTGGGACGTCCGCATAGCTGAGAAGTTCATGTAAACAATGACAGTAGCTTATTGGCCTTCAGTTGCAGCAACATTGATCATATGTATAAATGAAATTATTTTATTTCTCTTACAGTTTATCAAAATAGATGACAGGAATGTCCTGCTGTTGAATAAGTAATCTAACAGCGAAAATTGCAGGCTTGTCAGTGGTTGCCAGGAACAGTGCTAACTGTTTTACTTAGGGTACCTCGTGCCGTCCTCATGTGCCTCACAAATAATCCTCAAAATTCTGCGAACTAAGTGCTCTTATCAGCATCCTCACTGAGCTTCTGTAGGGCTTAACTAGAGCCCCAAACCCCTAGATTCCATCCACTGGGTTTTCCCCATTGGCCGAAGGCCTGCCCAAGTGGTATATAATAATAGCTCTAAGGTGACACCTAGTGGTATTAGGGGATATTACATTAGGAACTTTGTGCCCAAGTTCAAGTTCTGTTCTACTACTATTATTATTATTTATTTATTTTTTTTACTTTGTCAATACAAACACTGTGGGCATAAAATATTTGAAGGAAACCACATGGCATTAGAATTTATAGCCACTTTCCTACCCATTAGGAAATCGAACAAGCAATCTTTTGCTGCATTGGACGACGCCCAACCAACGGGGCCACATCAGCCAAGACCCATTATCCCCTTTGGAGGACACTATTTCTGTCTTAAACAAAACTTTCATAGCCTCAAGGAGGCCATGACATGAGCCTTCCTGAAGTGCTCATTTTTAACCGCAGAAATAATCCGGTTCAATGGGATTGATAATATCACACTTCGCTTTTTTCCCCTGTATTTTACCTCTTAGGTCAAAAAATTCGCGACTTACGTAGTTGCTACCGGACTTCAGTATGGAGCGGAAGGAGGCATCTTACATTTCTTTTTCAAGGTATGACTTTTCAATGACTATGAGGATTTTAAAAATTCTACAGGAAGGTGATACCATCTGAAGATATTTCTGATTGCTTCTAGGCGTGGCTGTGCCAGTCTAGCAGCAGAACGTCCAGTGAAATAAGGGTGTCGACCATAGCCCCCTTTTTTTCTTTCCCAGTATTGGCCCTTCTAGTCACCACTCTCAGGACAATGAAGAGTGAGGCAGATCTCCTTTCATTCAAACACACGGTGCTGACGTAGGCATTTTCTCTCCACGCAGGCAACACGCAGTTGGCTATTAAAGACAGCTGATGGGATTATAGGTGTTTAGAAAAGTGTTTCAGCTCTGCTGTTGCACTTTATTTCTCTTACATGGGATTTGACCCGTCTCATCAGAACCGATCTACCAAACCTCTCCCTGAGGCGTCCTCCGAGGACCATGACATCAGGCAGGCGGTCCCTCGGGTGCCTCTGGCTGCGGCGCGGTGTGAGCTGCAACCGTCACGTCACACACGTGTGCCCAGGGGAACACGCTTTGCACTTGTCTTCCTTGCAGTTGGCTTGGCTGGGCGAGGTCCCTGCACTGCCTGTTTTTGGAGACGGAACCAATGTAATTCCGGCCATTCACGTGCTCGATCTCGCAGGGTGAGTATTCGCCTCCCGGAGACACCACTGCCCGCGAATTCACGGACGAACGTGTGGGTTGATGTGCTCGTTTGTCGAGCTCTCACCGAGGGCTAGGACCCTGTGTCACTGTGTTTATTCTTCACCACAACGCGGTGCGGAAGGTTCTGTTGTTACCGCCACGTGCATCTGAGGAAACAGTGTCCACCCCCTAAAAGCCCCACACTTCCCATGACGAGTTCGGGTTCATCCTTTAAACGCCTGGTCGGCGGGTGCACAGCTCCGGAAAAGGAGGAACACGGCATGTGCATGCTGGGGGCCTCGTTCCTCCTGCTTTTGTCCCAGGTGAGACGTCCAGGAGTCAGGTAGGCAACGCGAAAGCTGAAGCAGATTGGTTTTGGCAACTGCAGTTAAATTAACACATGGGTGTGTTGTCTTTTTTAAAATACATATATTTTTATTGATTTTAGGGGGGAAGGAAGAGAGAGAGAGAAACATCAATGATGACAGAGAATCATGGATTGGCTGCCTCCTGCACGCCCCCCACTGGGGATCAAGCCCGCAACCTGGGCATGTGCCCTGGCCAAGAATCGAGCCATGACCTCCTGGTCCATAGGTCGATGCTCAACCACTGAGCCATGAGGGCCGGGCTTAACATGTTTTTCACACTCGCAGAGTTCCCCAACTCTGTGCCCCGGACAGGTCTGGAGACCCTCTCCAGCTTTGCGGACCCCGACTTGAACACGAGTCAAAAGATGGTTCACTTTGCTTGTGGTTCGTCGGGTCTACATGTTGGGTTCCATGGGCTTTATTCTGCCACCCCTCTACTCACCCCCCTCCCCCCCCACCACTTCCCCATTAAGGGGACAGTTACAGCTCCTCCCTGAGGTTCTGGCTTCCAGATTCCACTCTTACTCTCATCCACTGGCCACGAGTAAATTGGTCCCCATCCCGGGTTTACTGGGGGGAAATGAAGCTGTAGGACCCCTCCCCCGCACGGGTCTCCTCCGAGGCCCCAATCTTCAGTTGTGTTATTTTTCTAAAAGAAGCATCCCCTGGATCGTGTAAGCGTCTCCTCCAGGCAGCACCCAGCCTGCAGCAGCCAGCGTTCACCCTGGGCTCGGAGGGCTGAGTGCGCCCGTCTGTTCTGCAGAGGTTTTACTTGATTGCGTCATCGGGTTCTAACGATGGGAAGGAATGTTCGACATCCTGAAAACCAGGCCTGCCAGCCTGTTTACTACCTCTCTCGGCTTTTCTCCTCCGGTGACGGACGGCCTTCCCTGGCGTCTGCAGGGTGATCCAGAACGTGATAGACCACGTGCCGAAGGTCCACTACCTGGTCGCCGTGGACGACTCTGTCCAGACCCTGGAGGACTTGGTCAAGGTACAGCCCTCGAGTCCCCCGCTTGACGGCGTTTCCTAAGCCGTCCCGCCTCTAAGTATAGAGGCGTGCAAACGAGGCCGGGCCTCCTCATGTAGAACAACAGCCTTAAAACCCAGCTCCCCACCTGCACCCCCTTTGCGAGCTGCAAACAGCACACACCTGTGCACACAGGTCTGCCCGCCTTTCCGACGGGAGCAGTCTCAGGGCAGGAGCCAGGCCTTTCCCAGGCCTTTCCCGTTCTCTTCCCCGTCCTGGCGCGCAGGGGGACAGTGAAGCGCGCACACACAGCGCAGGAACGGCCACCCTCCGTGCACGCCCCTCTGCTGTGCAGCATTTTCTTTTATCCGCACTCAGTTCCGCTTGCATTCATCTGGGGGCTCGTATATTACAACCTGGCAGGTAAGCCAGTAACACGTCCCCTTTCCTCTCGCAGTGCATCAGTAGGAACACCGGCCCTGGGAAGGTCCAGAAAGTGCTCAAAGAGAACGCTTTCCTATCCAAGGACCTAACAGTCAGTATATGCGATTCTCTTCCTCTTCCCTTTTCCCGGGTGGCGGGTAGCTGAGGGGTTTGGGGTCAGGATGCCTGGCTCCCATGCTCCTCCAGGCAGCCAGCCATCAGCCCTAAAGCAACGCTCTCTCCACCTCCTCCTCCTCCCCCTACTCCTTCCCCTCCTCCCCCTATTCCTCCTCCTCCTCCCCCTCCTCCTCCCCCTACTCCTCCCCCTCCTTCTCCCCTTCCTCCCCTCCCCTCCCCTCTCCTCTCCTGTCTCTCCTCTCCCCTGCGAGCCTGTTTTCCGTCCTGAACTCTCCGAGGCCATAGCCAGAAAATGTACTTAAAAGCTGTTCGCTGGACAGTGGTGTTCAGACGCCAGGTGTCATCCTCTCCGGCCTCTTCCTAAACTTCACGGGAGGCGGAGATTCTGATTCCACCCCCACGGAAAGCAATGCAGCCTTCGCCACGCAGCGTGCTCTTCGGCTGCAGCTTTAGGGTGTAATTTTTTAGGAATGAATGGATCAAAACACTGCCTTTGAGGATGTTTCTGAAAGCGCTGGCATCCCTGGGGGAGCCGAGGTGGGTGGGTGGCCGTGGCGCCCAAGGGGCCATTTCCCTCTACTTTTGTTTTCGGGGATTTTTTAAAAATGTAGTTTTATTGACCTCAGAGGGGAAGGGGAAGAGAGAGAGAGAGAGAGAGAGAGAGAGAGAGAGAGAGAGAAATGATGAGAGAGAATCATCGATCAGCTGCCTCCTGCTCGCCCGATACCGGGGATTGAGCCCTCAACCCGGGCCTGACCGGGAATTGAACTGTGACCTCCTGGCTCATAGGTCGATGCTCAACCGCTGAGCCACGCCGGCCAGGCTGTTCTTGGGGGCTTTTGAACCATGAGATGCAATTAAACATTTTTTTAAATATATATTTTATTGATTTTACAGCAAAGAAGGGAGAGGGGTAGAGAGTCAGAAACATCGATGAGAGAGAAGCATCGACCAGCTGCCTCCTGCACACCCCCTACTGGGGATGTGCCTGCAACCAAGGTACATGCCCTTGACCGGAATCGAACCTGGGACTCTTCAGTCCCCAGGCCGATGCTCTATCCAGTGAGCTAAACCGGCTAGAGCATAATTAAACATTTTTAGAAGAAGCTTTATACTGGGACTTCCAGTACCTTCCTCCTCCGAGCGGCTCGTGTAACGGCAGGCTGCTGCCCCTCCTCCCACTCCCAGCGCTGCACGAGGGGCCGTCGTGGGTGGTGGGGTACAGAGTCTGCTTTCATGATAATAGATCTGGGCCTGCTAGAGCCATCACCGGAAAGAGACAAGTCTCTCATGTGCCTTTACCTCGCAGCAAGACAGCATCGACCACCTGCTGCTCAACCTGCGCATGGAGGCGCTCTACGTGAAGGAGAACTTCAACATCCGCTGGGTGTCCCAGACGGGCTTCGTGGAGAACATCGGCAACGTCCTCAGAGAGTACAAGCAAAGCCGAGGGCTGCTGGTAACCGGAGCCCCCCCGCCTCAGCGCTCCGTGCCGTCCTGGCCACGGGAGCACGTCCCCTCTCCCGGGCCCCAGTTTCTAAAGCCCGGTGCCTTTTCCAGGGTGGACCCGTTTGTCCAGGCCTTAGCATCGACCTGGGCATCATCTCAATCCTGTCCACCGGACAGTAACACTTTTAAAGTTGACATAGACGCTGACTGTTATGCTTGACACACACGGGACACGATAGCAAGTTGGAGACTGACTTGTCACAGGGCTGTCGACGTAAGGAAAAGAAATCTAGTGTCTTACTGCCGGCCTGCTTCAGGCCCAGGTGTACATATGGGGGGAGGGGGGAGGGGGAAGGGGGAAGGGGGGAGGGGAAGAAGTCTGATTCTCACTTCCATCCTATTGGCCAGGAGATTCGCCAGTCATTTGCATCATCACAACTGTTCAAGGAAGATACTCGTATCTCCTTAGTACAGATGTGAAAACCAAGGCTCCGAGAGACGGAGCAACTTCTTCACGGCCACGTGGCTAGTCAGGGGCTCATCCGAGCTAGGACGCGAGCTCAGCTAGAATGGCCTGCGGACCAGCCTCCACACCCCTCTCTGAAGCAGCACTTGGCCAGATCTTTAGATTTATTCCAGGGAAGCCCTACAAAGGTGACAGTGAACATTACATAAGAAAAATGTTTTTTTGTTTGTTTGTTTTTTAATCCTCACCTGAGGATATTTTTCCTTTGATTTTCAGAGAGAATTGAAGGGAGGGGGAGAGACAGAAACATCGATGTAAGAGAGACACATTGATTGGTTGCCTCCTGCACCCCCCGTCCTGCCCGGGAATCGAACCGTGACCTCCTGGTTCATGGGTCGATGATCAAGCACTGAGCCACGGCGGCCGGGCTTAAAACTAGAGCAAATTATCTGTGTTCAAAAGGAGCGATAATTAACGACCAAGTTCAGTCCAGAAACAATATTCACGAGGCAATAAGTTGGGCACTACGTCCCCGAGAGCAGACACTCGTCAGCGTCTTAGTTGTCTTTCCAGGAGCAGCAGCGCCACAGCTGTGAAGCTGGTGGCAGGCCATGCGCGCGGACTTTCTCTCTCGATCCTCTGGCCCTCTCCCCGGGCACGTACCCGAGTGCCGAGTGCCGCCTTCCCCACGCCCCGCCATGCTCACTGCGCGAGTGGAGGAAGGGACCGCAGGGATCCGAGCGCTGATGCGCCCCCTGGCGGGACCAGTGCTCGGTCGCTGCCGGCCGTGCCCAGCTGGCTAGTGAGCCTGGCTCTCCTCTCTCAGCCCATCAAGGTTTGCATCCTCGGCCCGCCCGCCGTGGGCAAGTCCAGCGTCGCGGAGGTGCTGGCCAAGTACTACAAGATCCACCACATCAAACTGAAGGACGTCATCGCCGAGGCCATAGCAAAGCTGGTATCGCTTTTCACCCCTCCCGGGGGACGTCCCTGTTTTAAAAAATGCTTTCCCTCGCCGTGCGCTAACGAAGCCACTGGCGGCACGTGACATCCTGCACAGGGCTCTGTCCCTCTCGGGGGGCCGTGGTCGTTGGCCCCGCTGTGACAGCTCCCAGGCCCACGGGTTCTGCTCCGAGAGACGGAAGCCATCCCCAGGGGTGGCCCTGGAGTTCAGTCTGTCGCCAGCTGTTGCTCAAAGTATATCTCCTGTTCTCCCTGTTGAGTGGAACCTTTATTTATTTATTTTTTAAAATATAGTTTATTGATTTTTTACAGAGAGGAAGGGAGAGGGGTAGAGAGTGAGAAATATCGATGAGAGAGAAACATCGATCAGCTGCCTCCTGCACACCCCCTCTGGGGATGTGCCCGCAACCCAGGTACATGCCCTTGACCGGAATCGAACCTGGGACCCTTCAGTCTGCAGGCCGACGCTCTATCCCCTGAGCCAAACCGGTCAGGGCGAGTGGAACCTTTATTTACTTACTTACTTATTAAATTGATGGGGGTGATGTCGGTCAACATGAACATACAGGTGTCAGGTGTGGGCTTCTGTGTTACAAGAGCTGTACCCTGTGCCCACCACCCAAAGTCGCCATATGTTAGGACCCCCTCCTCCCCCACCCCTTCCCTCTGGCAACCACCACACGGCTGTCCGTGTTCTCGAGTTTCCGCTTTATGTCCCACGTATGAGTGAAGTCATGGGTTCTCAGCTTCTTCTGAATGACTTCTTTCTCAGCATAACGCTCTCAGGGTCCGTCCGTGTTGCTGCCAGCGGCGCTGTCCCACCCTTTCCCATGCTGAGTAGTATTCCCCTGCGTATGCGCTCCGATCTCCCTTAGCCACTCCTCTATCGCGGGGCACTTGGGTTGTGACACCTTTGTAAGCTTTTTCTTTGCTTTTATTCTTGATGTACGTTTCTCAGGGTGTGGCCAGCTTCTTTGCTGAGCGCTTTTTTAAAGAAAGGCTTTATTTCCTTAGAGCAATTTTAGGTCAGAGATTTCCCCTATGCCCCCACCCCCCCCCGCCCCGTGGCAGGAGGCTAGTGAGTAGCAAACCAGTGCAGGGCACCAGCCAACTGGAGGGCCCTGTGGTGTGCAGGAGGCCATCGTGGCCCCCAAGTTCGGAGGGGAAGGAGGGGAAGAAGACGAGGAGGAGGAGGAGGAAGAGGAGAACGTGGAGGACGCGCAGGAGCTGCTGGACGGCATCAAGGAGAGCATGGAGCAGAACGCAGGTAACGGCTCCCCCCACCTCTCCCCACCCCCCCCCACTCCCTCTACACACACACACACACACACACACCCCGCACTGCACAGGGGCCGTGGGTCTGTGAACCAGGGCTTTTTTGTTTGCTTTTCCTCCAAGTAAACAGCACAACATTTTTATTTTTTAATTTATTTTATTTTTCTAATTCGGTCTGGGAGTCTTTCCAATTCCCCTTCTTTGTTATAAAAGACTATTCGTTTGCTATTATAAGTTAAGTATAGAAATTATAAGAACCACAAAGAAATGTCGTTTATAATCTCCCCTCCCAGGGGAAAAAAAAAGTCACCATTAATATTCTGGTGATTGATCGTGAGACGGGAAAGGCCCTGGCTGTGTGGCTCAGTGGTTGGGTGTGGTCCTGTGTGGGAAGGCTTCCCAGTCAGGGCACATGCCCAGGTGGCAGGTGCCATCCCCAGTTGGGGGCGTGCAGAAGGCAGGTGATGGATGTTCTACCCTCACATCGATGTTTCTCTTTCTCCCTCTCCCTTCCTCTCTTGCTAAAAATCAATAAAAATATATTTTAAAAAATAAGATGGAAAGAACTATCTATGTTTAAAAAATGAAATGTATAGTCATAAATCTTTTATAAGCATCGACAATCATTAATTAAAGGGCAAAAAACAAACCAGGAAAAAAAATACTTGCCACCAATATGACAGAGTTAATAATCTTTTTAAAAAATATGTTTTTATTGAATTCAGAGAGGAAGGGAGAGGGAGAGAGAGATAGACCATCATGATAGAGAGAATCAGTGATTGGCTGCCTCTTGCACGCCCCCTACTGGGGATTGAGCCCACAACCCAGGCATATGCCCTTGACTGGAATATAATCTAGTATATAAAATACTCAGGCAGCCCAGCCAGCATGGCTCAGTGGTTGGGCGTTGATCTATGAACCAGGAGGTCATAGTTCAATTCCCGGTCAGGGCACATGCCCGGGTTGCAGGCTCGATACCCAGTGTTGGTTGTGCAGGAGGCAGCCGATCCATGATTCTCTCTCATCATCGATGTTTTTATCTCTCTCTCCCACTCCCTTCCTCTCTGAAATCAATGAAAATATATTTTAAAAAATAAAAACATAAAATAAAATACTCAGGCAAACTAGGAAGAAAATCATTAAATCCTTAATAGAAAAAAAATTGATGAATAAGGAGGACCATCGTTAATGCAGGAAGGAATACAAATCAATGGGAAAACGTTCCTCCTCATGTTTGGACATAAGAAACATCCAAACCTGTAGAGAATTTCTCTAAGAGTCTGAGCCAAACTCTCATGAGGACATATGCCAGGGAGCAAGATCTCAATGCTCCGGGGACAACAGTGGGCAGCGTTTCTTCATTCGAGATTAAGGAGAGAGGATAAGGGAGATTATCTGGAGGAGGGAGGAAGCAAGTGGGGGGGGGGGACTGAATTACAGGGGAGTTAACGAGATTACTTGCTCTCTGGAGTGTTACTCCCCTCTCCCAAGGGTATTACAAGCACTTCAGGCACTTCTAGAGGCACAAGAGCAATGGACGGGGCTGGCTGGTCACCTTTCACTAGGATGTTCCTGGGGCGTGACTACCCACCGCGACCTGCCCGCTTAGGAATTGATGATGAGAGCGCCCTGCGATGTTACTTTTCATAGAACCCCTTTCCATCCATACTCACTTGGTAATTTTTTTTTTACAGAGAGGACGGGAGAGGGATAGAGAGTTAGAAACATCGATGAGAGAGAAACATTGATCAGCTGCCTCCTGCACACCCGCTACTGGGGATGTGCCCACAACCCAGGTACATGCCCCTTGACCAGAATCGAACCTGGGACCCTTCAGTCCGCAGGCCGCCGCTCTATCCACTGAGCCAAACGGGTTAGGGCTCTCACTTGGCACTTTTAACCAGTTTATGGAACAAACTCATTACAGTCAAGTGTCACTCTAAGGTCAAAACCTGGGCTCACTTTTCCCACCCCAGGAAGGAGGTCAAGGCCGGTCCCACCGCCACCCTAGGTGATAAGTCAGCGGCCTCCTTGGCCAGTCATGCTTTACGAAGTCCGTTCATATCACCGCAGACTGGGCGTGGAACGGAGATGTTTCCAAGGGAGCTGGCTCCCCAGCAGGAACACCGCCAGTCAGTAGTTATTAGAAAAAGAAAACCATTTCGCCCCGGCCGGTTTGGCTCAGCGGTTGGGGCGTCGTCAGCCCACGGACCGAAGGGTCGCAGGTTCAATTCCTGGCCAAGGGCACGTACCTCCATCGCAGGGTCATCCCTGGCCCCTAGTGGGGCACGTGCAGGAGGCTGCCAATCGGTGTGTCTCTCTCAGGTCGATGGTCTCTCTTTCTCTTCCCTTCACCTCCCTCCCTTCCCCTCTTTCTAAAAAAGAAATGGGAAAAAGATCCTCAGGGGAGGATTAAAAAAACAACAGCACCATTTCATTTTTATACCCAGACAGCGGAGTTCTTCCATCACACTGGGTGTATTAGTATCATCTGCAGGGCAGCCCGTAGTGTGGACTCGTCCAGTGGAGTTTCTGCCCTGGCCGACTTATCAGCACATCTGGTTTCTTCTCTCTGTTTACTTCTCCCCTCTTGCTGGTGGCTGTTTCTGATCCCCCAGGGCTGGCGTGAGGGAGGGACAGGGGAAACTGCCCTGGGTGACAGGACGCTGGGCGCTTGCTGCTCCTTCCTGGTGTTGTGCTTCTGTGGGCCACAGAGGACGTCCCCCGCCTTACCCTGAGGCCCTGCCCCTGAGTGCCCGCCCACCTCTGCTCTTCTGGCCCTCACATCCTCCAGGCTCCTCCAGGCTCCTCCAGGCGGGCCTCTTCCCAGCCACTCATCTTCAAGACGCTTGTCCCTCCATGCCCTCCGGCCTCCTCCCCGCCTGCCCAGGCCATGCCAATCTGGTTTTCAGAGGCGGAGAAAACGGTGTTAGCATACACTGAGTGTCCACTGAAAGCAGCTGTTTGGTTTCTGCTCTGGTGTGGGCTGGGCTGGGGGAGGGGGATGGCATTTAGAGAGATTTCTCAGAGGAACAGGAAGGTGAGCAGAAAACACAAAGGCTTTGAGATGCAACTCAGCTTCTGCCTCACTCAGAGACACTGGGAGTCTCTCTCCCAGTTTAGAGTCTAACAGCGCCCTGGCTCCCACCCTTTAGGGGAGAGGAGAACACCCGAGAGGAGGTGCCCACGGTGGGGACCCCTGTGGGAGGAAATCGGGCCCGGCCGCATTACAGGGGGAGGAGCATGTGAGATCTTGCTTCCTGACATGGCATCTGTTTGGCTCAGATAAACTCATAAAATTTTTCTAAAAAATATAAAAAATTAAGGGTGGGAGACCTGGAAATGTAGGAATCCACGGGTGTATGTGGCCATGTGTACACACACTTTAAGCCCAAGGTGTAAGGACAGAAAGAGAACGCTGGGGCTGGTGACCGATGCCACCCCCACCCAGAAGAGAGGCAAGACCCGCGGGTGTTGGAGCTAACCGGACGAGACAAGCCCGCACGATGTTTGTAGACAGGGACCTAGATAGCAGCTCTCTGCCAGGGCCCGACAGTCTGACCCGGACTTCCTGTAACAGCCTGGCGTGACGCACCAGCCGGGCTCTCTCCACGCCCGGGGAGGGGACCACGTAGGAGAGTTACAGTAGGGGCAGCACCACGTTGAGAAGTCACTGCCCAAGCTCAAGAAGGGCTGTCTTTGGCCTTGGCCGGAGGCCGTTCCTCCCAGATGCAAGGGGCCAGTGTGGCTCAGCAGCCTCTGCCTGGAGGGGCCCTGGGAGAGGGCAGAGGACGAGGTCTCTGGGGGAGGGAAAGTCTTCGGAACAGCAAGTGCGCCCCCACTCCCTCTTCCCAGCCACCCACCACTTCCTGCAAGCTTGGGAGATTTCCTCAACCCCCTCTAGTTTGTCCAAAAACCCTTCATCATATTTATCAGAAACTAGAACATGGGCCTTGATTATGTTTGAACAAAACAAGACTTGGGGCGCACCGCACAGACCCACAGGGAAATTTCGCAGCATGGGGACACACAGGTGAGCTTGCGTGTCCCTAACATGGCCCCATTTGTGACTGTATGACTCTAACGATTCCAGCAAGACAGATGTCGCAACCCCGCCATGAGGCACCTCCACGTCCTGTTCACACATAATTCCACTCCCGTCGGCCTCTGACAATGCAGCCAGACCAGGAACATGGTTAAACCTCTGGCGTGCCAGTTAGATTCCTGTTGCTCACTTTATATAGTTCAAGTGTGTGGGGTAAGAAGATATTTTTATTGATTACAGAGAGGAAGGGAGAGAGAGAGAGAGAGAGAGAGAGAGAGAGAGAGAGAGAGAAACATCAATGATGAGAGAGAATCATGGATGGGCTGCCTCCTGCATGCCCCCTACTGGGGATCGAGCCCGCAACCCAGGCATGTGCCCGGACAGGGAATCAAACCGTAACCTCCTGGTTCATAGGTCGAAGCTCAACCACTGAGCCACACCAGCTGGGACTTTTCAGCAGCTTAAAAGAGAAAGGTGCCTTTGAGGCTCAGCTCAACCTTGATTTTTATTCAAAGGCAGCAGCTGTGTATTGGGCACCTCGTAGTGATACGTCATGTGCTAGCGACACACATGAGTACCACTTCAATTCGTACAACAGAAGCATGTACCAGTACGTATAAGGCTATAGGGGTATCCTATCCAAGTACAACCGAGTAAACCCTACTGGTAAATGGGAGCACTCTGGATTTCTCCGCACACTTCATGTCCTTCTACACCCAGGAGCTGTGACCACACAAACATTCTGGAAATGCCAGCATCCGCGTTTGCCTCTCTTCTTTCGCGGAAACAGGCTCACTGGGTGCTCCTATTTGATTGTGCACTGGAATTCGCGTGCTGTGTTCGAAATCCCCAACCACCTATTTGTCACTTGAAGGGAAAAATAAGGGACTGCATGATAATTTTTCAGGGGACGGCAGCGTGTAACCCTATACAGAAGGTGACTCCACAGTCATATATATATATTTTTTCTTTTTATTAGGCCGACTGGAAGATCAATATGTAATTCGGTTTGTAAAAGAAAAGCTGAAATCTATGCCTTGCAGGAATCAAGGTTACATTTTGGATGGATTCCCCAAGACCTACGACCAAGCCAAAGACCTGTTCAACAGTAAGTCGGAGCGCGCCCCCTGTTTTGAATGTGAACATTCAGACAAGGAGCAAGTCTACTCCTCAGAGTAATAGCCACGCAATTAAAATTAGTGACTGCTAGTTAAAATTGTTATATTTTTTATATAAATTTTATTGATTTTTTACAGAAAGGAGGGAGAGGGATAGAGAGTTAGAAACATCCATGAGAGAGAAACATCGATCGGCTGCCTCCTGCACACCCCCTACTGGGGATGTGCCCGTAGCCAAGGTACATGCCCTTGACCAGAATCGAACCTGGGACCCTTCAGTCTGCAGGCCGACGCTCTATCCACTGAGCCAAACTGGCCAGGGCAAAATTGTTATATTTTTGAACAATAAAGATTTTTGTAAAATAAAAAAAAATAATTTTTTCGAGGTACCCATAGTAATAATAGGTAACAAACATGACGATGTATTTTTTAAATCTTTATTGTTAAAAGTATTACAGATGTCCCCTTTTTCCCCCTTGACCACTTCTAGCCCCACCCCTGCCCCAGGCCTTCACCACACTATTGTCTGTGTCCCTGGGTGATGCATATATGCACACAAGATCTGTGGTTGGTCTCTTCCCACCCACCCCCGCCTTCCCGTAAGTATGACAACGATGTCTATTTTGTTTTATTAGAAGACGAGGAGGAGGAGGAGGAGGAAATCAGAGGCAAAATGTTACCCTTTGATAAACTGATCATACCCGGTAAGTTTAAAATATTTCTCCAGGGTCACATGTAAAGGAATGCCATCTGATAGCTCCTTTGAACCAGAACAATCTTTTTGATGTTAATAAAGTAGGGTTTTCTTCTTGTAGAAAAGCAGTCAAATGATACACACTGAAAATCAAATTCCCAAACTGCAGGATGCATTGGGGGTAAATATGAGGGATATTCCGTCTCCCTGAGAACGTTAATTTCTGCTGCTCCCCGCTGTTAACGAAGCCACAAACGTGGCCAGTCTGTTGAAGCCCAGAGTCCCTTGGCGAGCCCCCGGGGACTGGATCACGGCCGCTCCTACCTGCTTCAGGGGCCAGCGATGCCATCGCCTTTTCCAGGAGACGTGCAGAATCCAGCACTGAGCAGGGCAGGCAAAACGCCCTCCGGTTCGCAGTGAATGTGGCGGCAAGCCTGTCCAATCAGATATTTACCCGGAGATTTCACAATGTGCTCTTGAAAGAGAGGCATAAACAATGTCCCAAGGAAAAGGAGTTGCTGAGTAGCTAGCAGCCATTTCTTCTGACCTTGCCATGAACTTGAAAAGGTGTTTTTTTTCCCTCTCTCTCTTAAAAAAAAAAAAAAAAGAAAGAAAAAGAAGAAATCAGTTGTCCTGGTCCGTTAGGCTCAGTGGTTGAGTGTTGATCTATGACCAGGAGTCACTGCTTGGTTCCCCGTCAGG